TAATCTTGAAATGTTGTGACCTGAATTCCATGTCTTGCTATCAAGGGTACTTTGTCAGAATGCTCTTGTCATTATTCTGGATAATATTTGATTTAGGGCAGTGTGACCCTCTTTCCAGAATGTGTCATTGTATAGTGACAGATCATGATGGAGGCAAGTGTTGTGGCAACCTTGGTTTAGTTCTTAATATAAGTTGCCTTAATTAAAATACATTTTATTTTAACAATAAAAAATCAACATCAGAATATATTGTTTCTGTCAAATGGTAAAAATGCATAGATACACAACACAGTAACATCTATTGACACTGGAATTTGGGAGCAGAAAGATTTTTAAAGGGGGGACCCCAAGTTGTCTAAAGCACTATCCGTTACAGAACACTGCCATCTCACCCCTGTGTGGGTTCGAGTCTTAAGATTCGGTGAATTCGGATATGTGAGAAAGCTTGCCAGTAGCTTCTCGTGGGTCAGTGATTCTTTCCAGGGATTTCTCGTTTCTTCCTCCACCGTTAGTACTGACCACCATGTATAGCCTATCGTGTGCAAAAAAATGGCAATAAGCCCCACAACAACTATAACATTTTTAAAGGAGTTAACATTTTAAACTGTGACAGAATATGGCAGTTATCATTTCATTTTTAACCTGAGACAGCATGTGGCAGTTATCATTCATATTTGCCTGTGACAACCTGTAACATTAAATGGCTTATCATTTACCTGCATTGCTCAGCCAGGAATTTCTTGCCAAAGGGAGGATAAGATGTGTACTTTTAGGAAAGGTGTATGGACATTGTTCAGAATAAAGGGTTTTTTATGTTCAGTATAAGAACTTAAAGCTATTGATGAAATTTAGAATTTCAATGTTTAATAAACAGACAAAAGCACATTCATATGTTTATCCTAAATGAAATAAATGCAGAAGTGAAAGGCAATGCTTTATATCTTTGAAAAATCTTAATTTGAGAGGTTCCTTAAATTTTCAAAAAGTTAGACTTGTCCTTGAAAGATTCTGTAGTTTATTGACTAAACTCCTTGAATTTTTCCCAAAACTTTTAATTGGTGATTATAAAGCATTAAAACTGAATGTACTTGTTTATATTTTCCAAAAACAATGCATAAAAGGGGATCACATTTTGCATGGATCAGATAGGTACATGATATAGTTTGCTTTATTACTGCACTAATTAGTGGTTAGAGAATCAGCCTTGGATGTGGGAGTTTGCATTAAGGGGTTAGTATTTGAACTGGTCGGCCTGATGTTAGGATAACATGACTGTGTAGGACATCATGCTACATGTCTGCATTTTCATGCCTCAGTGCTTGAGCACTATAAACTGCCACACTAAAGACATTGTCATGATATGACCAAAAAATTGTTAAAGCTACTTTAAATCACACACACATACACACACTATTAGTTTGTTTTTCTACTTTGTACCTATCTACACACAAGGGTAATTTTTTCATAAGAAAAAATACTCATTGCGACCACTGATCCACAGGAAGCTACTGGAAAGTTTTTTACATAGCAACATGGGTTGAGCAGATGTATGAACCAAGAGGAATGAGATGAGTGATCTGTAAAAGTAAGCACTCAGTAGACCACTCAGCCACATGACCACCTGATAAACCATGAATAAAAAGCAAACAAAAGACAATTTAGTGTTCAGGGGGAAGGAAGGGGTGGAATGGGCACTACAAGTAAGGGCAAGTAGAGGTGTTCTTTGCACAGATGGAAAGATGTATAAATAAATAAAACCATTTCAAGCACTGTTCCTCAACAGTAGGAGAAAAAAAAATTTGGAAGAGGTTAGCATTTGTTAAAGGATGTTTCTTCTGTCAGAATTAGTCCATTAGCTTTGGAGATTGTTCAGAATTTATATGACCAAGTTGAAGGTATTATAATTAATTGGCATCCATTTTAGTTTCTTGTGTTTTAATGAACAGATTTGAACATGATGCAAAGAACCTAATCGCTTTTTCAGGTCTGTAGAATGTACATGTGCATTTTCATGTTGTCAAGATGAAATGAGATAGAAAAGTGACATAGAACAGTAGAACTAATGACATTGAAAAATAAAACTAACGAGAGAAAATACTTGCTAAAGCTGGGTTCTTACAGTCTTTGAAGGTCTTTAACAGATTAGGAACAATGAGGTAGCATTTTCAAGGCCTTGAAAGTTTGGGAATATCTAGCAGGTCACCCTGATTTCTTTCTTTTGAAATAAGGGAATTACTTAATAGTTCGAATTTCATCATTAAACAATATTGTAGAATTTTGTATTCATTTTTTTCATATAACATAACTTGTATACAAAATGTTAGCTAAAATAGGAAATCTATGTTGTGGTCTTTGAAAGTTTGAGAAAAGTCTTTGAATTCATCAATCAAAACTCTATAAAGGTGTTGGACAATAGCCTTAATTAGGTAAGCAGTAGAATTAATGAGATAGTTAAGTAGTACCATTGAGAAAAATATTAATCAGATTTTTAAAAATTAATAGAAGCAACAACTATGCCAACGCTACTGCACATGCATAAAAACTCATCTTTTTCAAGGACACCATGTTAATGGTTGTCGTTTGTAATGTGACCAGAGAAAATTGCCTGTTACATTCTTTTATCTCGTCTTCAGGTTTTATGTCAGTAACCTATGCTTTTTTTCAGTATTTAATTATGGTAAAGTCTTGGGTTATGACAGTAGAAGTTAATGTACCATCCTCTTATTTTTAAAATAGAATTAGTTCATAGAATAAGTCTTGTGTGTAATGCAACACATGCCCAAATGAAATTAATTTATATTACCTTTTCTTAGATAATTGATTCAACATCACTTTGGTGGTTTTTTTCACCACTGTATTTGATGTGTCACTTTGTTATTGTGTCTACATTGATCGTATACAAATATAGGCTAATGAACGAACATCTTCCTCTTTTAAAATTATTAAGAGGATTTTAAGTCTTGACCTGATGGCAAATCGTATAATGTGGTGTAAATACACTGGGGTGAACTTAGCATGCAATAGATTCAGTTTCACATGTGTAAATAATACATAGACAAAGCTACATGTGTGTTTTGTTAAATTGTTGAAAATATGTTCATATGCTGTATCAAATGTTTTCCATCCCCCCTCGATAAAAGGGGCTTTGTATCAATTACATATCCTGTTTATATTCACATTCTTTTCTATTTTTTTAATGTATGCTTTCATAAATAAATTGAACAGTTTGCATTTTGTGAAGGAAACTATAAGTCTTGGAAAAATCCCCAAGTACGTAACCAGGATAAGCCTGGATACTGGATATATATTGTGCAGTTGCATGATCGGCCTGTCTGCATTGCAGATATGGTAATTTATTCCTTAGCTTTGAATTTTGAAATTTTGAATTAATTTAACTGCAGTCTCAGGTAAGTTGATTTCACTGCAGTCTCAAGTAAGTTGATTTATTCCTTCCTTCTTGAATAGAACATGGGTTTTGGGATTCATAACTGACCCTTTTTCTTGCACCCTACTTGCCTAATACACATAATACACAATCTAATATCTCAATAATACACAGTCTACTTCAAACAAATTTTCGGGGTAGTTCATAAATAATTGAACAACAGTCATTCAATGCATTAAAGTTTTATACAGAAAGCCCATTATTTTAGAGTGCTTTCTAAGTCCCTATTTTTAATGCAATTTCATCGAATTTAAAGCCCCAAATACTTAAGTTTCACCATTCTTCCAATTTACTCAAAATTGGAAGGAAGGAGATGAATTGTTTTTTGACCACTGATTGAAATAATCAAAATGTTGGGTTTAAACGATGTTCAAATGTTCAGTTAGAATTAAGAGGTTCTCTTAATTCTGTCCTCAATGTCATTTGTAATTTCATCCTTTTTTGAAAGTGGTGATGGCATGCATGTGACAAATTCCTCAAGTGACTAATATAATAATGTCATTTGAACATGGTGGATAAATTGATACAAGCAGGAAGGAAGAGAGATAGGCCTGCTTTTTTTAAGTGAATATGAGGAGTTTTAATCTTAACAAGTTTGTACACAACATAAACAATATGCTTGACCTTTTTTTTTCAATTTCGAATATAAATAAAAAGTAAAATAATCTAGTACAATACCAAAAGTTTGATCTGCCATATTCAGACCAACTGTGTGAATGGACTTATCTGCCAAAATATTTTCAGACTATCTGCTGCTCACTAGTAATTAATTGAATTTATTTAGATTTATCTTTGTATGCAGAAGGTAAGTAAAATCCATCTTTTTTATGCATATCAATAAATCCTTCAGAGCACTTGCTTTTTTATAGTTATAATTCTTGTCCGAACAAGACACTTGTGTATATATTGGTTATTGACCTTGTATTAAATTGTTGAGCATGCATGGAAGTTAGTATGACTCCAGTAAGGCATGGAGACTATTTAAAATCTAATGTCTCAATGATGTAGAAATGGAAAATTCTTTAGGCTTACATTGTGTAGTATTGACAGGCTCTCAACAGAAAAGCTTGCATAGTGTTGACAGTCTCATGGCAAGTAAGCTTGCACCTATACATATAGTGAGTTGACAGTCTCTCTACAAGCAAGCTTACATGTAGTGTGTTATATGTACTGGTGGTCAGCTTAAACTATAGATTCTGTAAACATAACTGGACACATAACAGGTTTTATTTCCATGAGTTACTGTTGGTAATTATTTGCTTTTTGGCTGGAAGAGACAGGTATCAAGGACTTCTCAACAAATAGCAATGTGATGTGATGTGATTATGATTTTTAACACAGCTTTAACAATTTTTCAGTCATATTTCTACCATGTCTGCAGTGTGGCAGTTTAAAGTGATGTCTAGCACTGAGGCATCATGCCAAAGACACATAGCATGATGTCCTACCCAGTCACATTATCCTGACACCAGGCCAACCAGTCTTAACACTAACCTCTTTATGCTGAGTGTCGAGCGAGGCAGCTGTTAGTACCATTTTTGTAAGTCTTTGGTATGACTCGATGGGGGATTGAACCCACAACCTTCGACATCTGAGGTGGATGCTCTAACCACTATGCCACTGGAGTGGTTTTGAAACAAATATCGAATGTAGCGCTTCACTGTGCAAGTAACTACAAGCAGATGCACATTTCCTCTGTTCAAGCAAAAAATTAGTAACAAAGGGGGAGGATGTTTGATAGCAGTATCTATTATAGGATCATCAAGGTACATGAATCATACATCAAGAAAGCTGATATCCTTTCCACTGGTGAGTTTTGAGTCTGTGGTGTTGTAAAATCAATGAGGTGTCTAAATGGAGATGAAATTAGTTACCTGGCATCGACTGGGGGTGCGGATTTGTTTTATTTATTTATTGTTTATACAAATCCTTATGGTCAAAGACAATTGCATTTGTTGGGCATTCTGACAAGTAAAAAAAAAGTGTAAAAAGAAGCTTCATCAATGTCCAGCTTAACGAAAGCAGTTTGTATCAGGCAATCATTGGGTAAAAGACCTTTATTTTTATTTCAATTTTTTTTTAAAACCAAGTCCATAACATGATCACATATCTAGAATCATATCATATAATGAAGAACCTAAAAACAACAAAGGAGAACTACATATAATACAATACTAATGTATGCATTTCAACTAACAATATAACATCAATCAACAAGCCAATGAACAATGAATGTAATAGATCAATGGTCCAGATTTTTATTTCGTTTCTTCTTCACACTATAAATGTATGTTTTCCTTTTTAAATAAAAACACCTAACCACCTCTTTTCTCAAAATATTCACTTGATTTTTGCATTTAAATGACATTTGTCAGACCTTTGATAATGGACTTGTCCAAATATAACATTGGTCACATTGTATCATGGGAAATGTATAGGCTTCTTTCCATTTTCATCAGCTGGAGTTCCATCATCATAGCTTGTATCGTGGGAAATGTATAGGCTTCTTTCCATTTTCATCGGCTGCAGTACCATCAACATAGTCAGTAAAACCTTTCTTCTCACCCTACATTCTACGAAATTCAGAAGCAGAACAGAATGTTTTTTATAATGGGTTTTTCATGATGATCCAACATGAAAAAGTTAAACAAGGGAGATGATTCATAATTTATTTTATGAAGACATCACAAGTATTCTCCCCTTAAATGTACATTTTCATTGGTAAAAAACACAATAAAAGTTTTAATTTAATTTTTGTATAGATAATATGTATACTGTTGTAATTAATGTTGTAGTAGTCTATGTATGTATGTATGTATGTAGGTAGGTAGGTATGTATGTATGTATGTAAATTTATCACATATCCACAACTGCTGTGTTTGCTTAGTTGTTAGGATGATCACCTAAGATGTTGGAGGTCACGGGTTCGAACCCCAGCTGACTTATACCAATGAAATATAAAAATGGTACTAACAGCTGCCTCAATAGGCACTCAGCATTAAGAGGTTAGTGTTAGGTCTGGACAGCTTCATGTCAGGATAATGTGACTGGGTGGGACTTGCTACATGTCTGTGGCATGATGCCCCAGTGCTAGACATTAGTATAAACTGCCATATTGCAGACATTGTTGCAATAGGAATGAAAAATTGTTAAAGCTACATTAAAAATCCAAGTCACACACACACACACACGCACACACACACATACAGTATCAACATTGACCAAGAGGATATCTTTAATCATGTGGACAGAGGTGTTTGGCAGTGATCAGTAGAGGAGATCTTTTAGACCACTGACATCTGGCCCCACACAAATGATTTGATTATAGTTTTGAAATATGTGGACAGAGTTGTCATGACAGTGTTGGTAAACTTCAGTTATTTTAGGCACTGAGATCCGGCCTCTCACAAATGAGGACTGGTCTAAACAGTGTATATCCTATCTGACACTGATTAATGGATTGGTCTAAACAGTATATACCCTATCTGACACTGAATAATGGACTGGTCTAAACATTATATACCCTATCTGACACTGAATAATTAACTGGTCTAAACAGTATATACCCTATCTGACATTGAATAAATGGACTGGTCTAAATAGTATATACCCTATCAGACACTGAATAATGGACTAGTTTAAACAGTATATACCCTATCTGACAATGAATAATGGACTGGTCTAAATAGGATAGTCCATATTAACATTGCATAATTTATGTCTAATATGTACAGACCCTATTTGACCTTGCATAATGGTTCAGTCTAATCAGTATAGACCCTATCCAGCACTGCATAATGGTCCAGTGTAATCAGTACAGACCCTATCTGGCACTGCATAATGGACCAGTGTAATCAGTACAGACCCTATCTGGCACTGCATAATGGTCCAGTGTAATCAGTACAGACCCTATCTGGCACTGCATAATGGACCAGTGTAATCAGTACAGATCCTATTTGGATTTGCATAATGGACCAGTGTAATCAGTATAGACCCTATCTGGCACTGCATAATGGACCAGTGTAATCAGTACAGACCCTATCTGGCACTGCATAATGGTCCAGTGTAATCAGTATAGACCCTATCTGGCACTGCATAATGGACCAGTGTAATCAGTACAGACCCTATCTGGCACTGCATAATGGTCCAGTGTAATCAGTACAGACCCTATCTGGCACTGCATAATGGACCAGTGTAATCAGTACAGACCCTATTTGGCACTGCATAATGGACCAGTGTAATCAGTACAGACCCTATTTGGCACTGCATCATGGTCCAGTTTAATCAGTACAGACCCTATTTGGCACTGCATAATGGACCAGTGTAATCAGTACAGACCCTATTTGACACTGCAAATTGGTCTAGTTTAATCAGCACAGACCCTATTTGGCACTGCATAATGGACCAGTGTAATCAGTACAGACCCTATCTGGCACTGCATAATGGACCAGTTTAATCAGTATAGACCCTATCTGGCACTGCATAATGGACCAGTGTAATCAGTACAGATCCTATTTGGCACTGCATAATGGTCCAGTGTAATCAGTACAGACCCTATCTGGCACTGCATAATGGACCAGTGTAATCAGTACAGACCCTATTTGGCACTGCAAATTGGTCCAGTTTAATCAGTACAGACCCTGTTTGGCACTGCATAATGGACCAGTGTAATCAGTACAGACCCTATCTGGCACTGCATAATGGACCAGTGTAATCAGTATAGACCCTATCTGGCACTGCATAATGGACCAGTGTAATCAGTACAGACCCTATCTGGCACTGCATAATGGACCAGTGTAATCAGTATAGACCCTATCTGGCACTGCATAATGGACCAGTGAAATCAGTATAGACCCTATCTGGCACTGCACTGCATAATGGACCAGTGTAATCAGTACAGACCCTATTTGGCACTGCATAATGGTCCAGTGTAATCAGTATAGACCCTATTTGCCACTGCATAATGGTCCAGTGTAATAAGTATAGACCCTATCTGGCACTGCATAATGGACCAGTGTAATCAGTATAGACCCTATCTGGCACTGCATAATGGACCAGTGTAATCAGTACAGACCCTATCTGGCACTGCATAATGGTCCAGTTTAATCAGTACAGACCCTATTTGGCATTGCATAATGGACCAGTGTAATCAGTACAGACCCTATCTGGCACTGCATAATGGACCAGTGTAATCAGTATAGACCCTATCTGGCACTGCATAATGGTCCAGTGTAATCAGTATAGACCCTATCTGGCACTGCATAATGGTCCAGTGTAATCAGTACAGACCCTATTTGGCACTGCATAATGGACCAGTGTAATCAGTACAGACCCTATTTGGCACTGCATAATGGTCCAGTTTAATCAGTACAGACCCTATCTGGCACTGCATAATGGACCAGTGTAATCAGTACAGACCCTATCTGGCACTGCATAATGGTCCAGTGTAATCAGTACAGACCCTATCTGGCACTGCATAATGGACCAGTGTAATCAGTACAGACCCTATTTGGCACTGCACAATGGTCCAGTTTAATCAATACAGACCCTATTTGGCACTGCATAATAGATCAGTGTAATCAGTATAGACCCTATTTGGCACTGAATAATGGTCCAGTTTAATCAGTACAGAACATATTTGGCACTGCATAATGGACCAGTGTAATCAGTACAGACCCTATCTGGCACTGCATAATGGACCAGTGTAATCAGTATAGACCCTATCTGGCACTGCATAATGGACCAGTGTAATCAGTACAGACCCTATCTGGCACTGCATAATGGACCAGTGTAATCAGTATAGACCCTATCTGGCACTGCATAATGGACCAGTGTAATCAGTACAGACCCTATTTGGCACTGCACAATGGTCCAGTTTAATCAATACAGACCCTATTTGGCACTGAATAATGGTCCAGTTTAATCAGTACAGAACATATTTGGCATTGCATAATGGTCCAGTGTAATCAGTACAGACCTTATTTGGCATTGCATAATGGACCAGTGTAATCAGTACAGACCCTATCTGGCACTGCATAATGGTCCAGTTTAATCAGTACAGATCCTATTTGGCACTGCATAATGGTCCAGTGTAATCAGTACAGACCCTATTTGGCATTGCATAATGGAACATTGTGATCAGTATAGACCCTATCTGGCACTGCATAATAGACCAGTGTAATCAGTATTGACCCTATCTGGTACTGCATAATAGACCAGTGTAATCAGTATAGACCCTATCTGGCACTGCACTGCATAATGGACCAGTGTAATCAGTATAGATCCTATCTGGCACTGCATAATAGACCAGTGTAATCAGTATAGACCCTATCTGGCACTGCACTGCATAATGGACCAGTGTAATCAGTACAGACCCTATTTGGCACTGCATAATGATCCAGTTTGATCAGTACAGACCCTATTTGGCATTGCATAATGGAATAGTGTAATCAATATAGACCCTATCTGGCACTGCATAATGGACCAGTGTAATCAGTACAGACCCTATCTGGCACTGCATAATGGTAATCAGTATAGACCCTATCCAGCACTGCATAATAGACCAGTGTAATCAGTATAGACCCTATCTGGCACTGCATAATAGACCAGTGTAATCAGTATAGACCC